CTCACTCTGCCCCTTCCCCCAAGGCCCTGCCCTCACTGTGCCTCTTCCCGCCCCCACTCCACCCCTTCCCCCAGGCGGGGGTATGTGTCCAGGGGGCCGATCTCCCCTTGGTGCCAGGAGTTGGGGCTGCCTTTGCCTATAGACACTAGTGCTGATGGCCTGGCCATGGCCAGGCTGGTCCAATCCCCACTCTCTGGTCGGGGCTGGAGATCCTCCGGCCTGCACCATTTCGTAAATCAGAGAAAGTGAGAGACACGAGAGCAGAGCGATGCTGACCTCAGCCAGGGGTAAGAAAGAGGAACCGGCAGACGGGGTGAGGGGGCAGCCCTTTCCCGCACGAGAAGGGATGGAAGGAACTCATGGGTCAGGGAAAAGCAAGCGGGGGTGGAGGTGCCACATGGGGGCCACGCACAGGCCTGTGTGATGTAGTTAGCTCGACCTAACCCCCCTTGCGGGCACGGCTCGGGCAATGGAAGAATTCGGCCGTCAGCCGAGCTGCTGCTTCTGGAGGGGGAGGATTTGCTACAGCAACGGACAAAGCCGCCTCTGGCACCGTAGGAAGGGTCTATGCCACGGCAGCCGAGCGGCTGTAACACGGACCTCCTCACGGAGGCCACCGAGCGGCAGTGGGGCTCGAACCCCCGATCCCGAAAGCAGAAGGCCCTGCCAGCCGAGTTAGATTTGCGGCTACCCGGATGGGCGTAGGATGGTGCATTGGGAATAGACCCTGTCTGATACCGGGCGTGGGACAGGCCAGCTCCAGCCGCGGGCTATCCGGGGACCGCTCTGGGACTGATTCCCTTGGCCAAAGCCCCGGGTGTGGTGCTGCCGTCTCTAGCCTCTGCCGTTTAATCAGCTGCTGGCACCTCGGGTGGGGTGGGGGATGCGGCAGGACGCGGCCCTCAGGTGTCACTCAACATGCCTGCGTAGCCCATAACTCCACGCCTGCCCCTCCCCAGCCGCGCCACCCCACCTGGGCTGTTCCTCTGCACGCAGAGATCTGTTCAAGTGCCCGGCGCCCAGCGTGGCACATGCCGGCTCCTCCCACCCCTGCCACATAGCGGGATTGATCCTGCCGGATGCTTCGGAGCCGCACGTCCCCTACGCTGAGCAGCCGGGAATCCAGCCCAGGGGCTCAGATGGCTTCTTCCCCTCTGCCCTAATGGCCGGTGCAACTTTCCCTTCACAGCCCGGCTTCAGCTTCCGGAAGCTGTGGGCTTTCACCGGCCCCGGATTCCTCATGAGCATTGCCTTTCTGGACCCGGGGAACATCGAGTCGGACCTGCAGTGCGGGGCCGTCGCTGGGTTCAAGGTGAGCAGGGGGGGGGGGGACGAGGGCGCGTTCGCCAGCACCACCTGTGCCCACTAAAGCCAGGATGGGGCCCGATAGATGGTGCATGACCTGGAGCAGCACAGGGTGGGGTGCGTGCCACTCAAACCACCCCGGGGGAGATTCTCCAGCCAGTCACAACGGTCCCTTTGGCCACTTCACCCCATTGCTAGTAGCTGGGTCCTTCTCTCCCACCCTAAACACCACACTGAGGATGAATAACACTTAGAACTTAGGTGGCGCTGGCCATCATCCGTCCATCTGTCCAGCCCATCCATCCCACCGTCACTTAGACTGTCAGCGCTTTGGGACAGGTCTGTACAGCGCCTTGCACTACGGGGCCATGATCCCAGGTCTGGGGTTTTCAGGCTCTACCATAATAACCCCCCAGCAAGCACTGATCATTAAGGTAACGAGCTAGCAGGTGTATGCAGCACACCCAGCCGCCCCACGCAACTGAGGCCCCGGCCCCAGACCCCCGTCTCCGTTCACGCTGGCTCTGGCGTGGATTCCTTGGGGTCTGGCTCTACTGTGGTTGGTTCAAAGTCCTGTCTGGGGTATGGAGGGGACCTTCCCAGACCCCAAGGCCAGGGGGTTTCAACCTTTTTCTTTCTGAGGCCAACATGCTATAAAACCCCCATAGCCCACCTGTGCCCCAATAATTGGTTTTCTGCATATACAAGCCAGGGCCGGCGTTAGGGGGTACAAGCAGGGCAGTTACCTGGGGCCCCACGCTACAGGGGTCCCCACCAAGCTACATTGCTCAGGCTTCGGCTTCAGCCCCATGCCCTGGGCCCCCAGCCGAGTCTAATGCTGGCCCTGCTTGGAGGCCCCCCGGAAACCTGCTCGAGGCCCCCAGGGGGCCCTGGACCCCTGGTGGAGAACCCCTGCGCTAGGCTACCCCTCGCCGACCCAGAGTCATTCAGCCTGCCCCAGTGAAGTCAATGGGAGTTTTACCACTGACTTCCCTGGGGACAGGACCAGGGCTGGTGTGTTTAGGTGACTCAGCCGGCGCTTTGCTGGGTCTGTAGCTTCTGTCTCCTGCTAGCTCCATGGGCTGGGCTGGCTCCTGGAGCCCCTGCTCAGAGGCACTGGACGTGCCCGGTCTGCCCCCCAACAGCCTGTCCCTTTATTGCGCTAGTTGCTGTGGGTGCTGCTCTGGGCCACCATCCTGGGGCTGCTGTGCCAGCGGCTGGCGATCAGGCTGGGTGTGGTCACGGGACTGGACCTGGGTGAGGTCTGCTACCAGTACTACCCAAAGGTGAGTGGCAAGCCGCCGTGCGGGCACCACGGGTCGCAGCTGGGAGCCTCACCTTGCCGGGGCGGATCTAGGGGAGCTTTGGCCACTGGGGTCCGGAGAGCAGCGAGCACGGGCTGGGCTGCGGGTGGCACCCACGGGCTGCTCATGTTGGCACGGGCACGTTGGCTGGCGAGACAGGAGTTCCACAGCCATTTGTCTGGATTCCTCTGGCCTCGGTCACCTGCCCCACAGCTCAGATTCGTGCCCTGCTTTGCAGCATCAGATGCCTGCTTTGGGGTTTTGAACCCTTGGGTGGATTTGGGGTCACTGGAAAGTGGGGGCGGGGGGGGCTGGCGGTACTGGACAGAACCAGCTACAGTGCAGGACGGTGCTTTACAAACGCACACTCACAGTGTGGGCTCTTGTGATGCCCCTCGGCCTGACCCGCAGCCCCCTGCTAGCCCCGTTCTGCCCCCCCCCCCCCACAGCTCTGCGATGCCCCTCGGGCCTGACCCGCAGCCCATTCAGTGAACGTGGGGATCATTCCCTGGAGAATTATACAAACGTTAAGGTCACACTGAGCCCATAAGACACGTGGCTAGAGAGACTCCTAATTAACCCTGGGCAAATGGCCCTGGGATGCTGAGAAGCAGAGCGAGGCCGCGCCAGGTTCTTCCTGGTGGGGGGAGCTGAGCAGAGTATGGGGTTACTGTCAAGTGCAGTAGATGGTTACCTCGCTACGCTCCCGTGTAGCTCAAGTGAACAGCAGGAGCGGACAAGCCCTTTAGGAAGCGGGAGGCTGTTCCCCCGTCAGAGCTCTCTGCAATCGGGGGTGAGGAATCCAACCGTATATTATACCCCAGAGGAGAGGGGCTTTATCATGAGGTCGCACCGGCGACTCTTTAATGATCCCCAACCCCCCAGAACATCAGACCTGACCCACCCTCCTACTATCCCTACTTGTAGCAAAGGAGCAGCAGCGGCAAGGAGAACTGTGGGCTTGTGGTTAGAGCCGCAGACTTGCAATCAGGACTCCTGGGTTCTGTTCACAGCTCTGTGCATGGCACTGGGCATGTCTCTGTGCCTCAGTTTCCCAATCTATAACATGGTCACATGGGTGTTGTGAGGCTTGATAAAATGCTCTGAGGTCCCTGGCAATGCGAGGCCGCCAGCCAGTCCCTGACTGTGGCGCTGGCCCTGTTTGCTGCAGGTACCGCGCGTGCTGCTCTGGATCACGATCGAGATCGCCATCATTGGTTCCGACATGCAGGAGGTGATCGGGACGGCCATCGCTTTCAGCCTCCTCTCAGCCGGACGGTAACAAACCCCCATGCTGCAGCCACAACTCCTGTGTGCTAGGGGAGCCGGGCCTCGAACCCGGGACCTTCAGCCCCCAGTCTGCCAGCTGAACTAAAAGAGCGCGCCCTGAGCTTGCAGCAGTAGTGAGCCCCTTATCCTGTCTGTGGGTGACATCCCAGGTACAAACCAAGCTAGCGTGTTACACGATCCCTCTAGCATGCCGGATCCTCGCCTTAGCGGCGCTGATTCCTAACCCCAGCGACCAAATGCAGGACCAGCTGGTTTGAAGCTAGGCAGGATTAGCTAGAGATCTCAGAGCTGGGGTCTGCCTGTTTTCCTCAGCCCCGTGCCTGCACTCGGAGACACCAGCTCTAGGCTCAGGCAGTCCTGGGCCTTCTCCTGACACTTCCTGTGGGTTTGGAAGCAGGACCCAGAGACAGATTTTAGTCGCTGTCAAACCAGGCTGCATTCAAGCCAGACCCCTCCAAAGCTGTGTAGCCCTGTTACCAAAGTCCCGAGCCAGCTGGGCTCCATCGCTGGCAATGTTTGACGCAGGATGGGATGTGCTTCTAAAGATCCACTCTAGCTCCACCAGGAGTGAATTCAGGAAAGTCCTGTGGCCTACAGGAGGTCAGACTAGGTGGTCACAACGCCCCTTCTGGCCTGAGGCGCTACGAATCCAGGGTCCCTCTGCAGAGCTCCAGGGCTTGGCTGCACCCCAGCGCATCGCGTTCCCTGAAGGCTTGTGTGCCGGAGACAGAGTCGCTCAGCTGAGCCTTTCACAAGCAGAGACGACCCCTCCCCTTGCCTTCCTCTAGCAAGGGGGCTGCCTGTCCAGCACAAGACGGCGTCAGGAGTGAGCCTCCCCCGGCTTCGGCATAGCAGTAACCCCTGTGATTTCCCCCCGCAGCATCCCCCTGTGGGGCGGAGTCCTCATCACCATCATCGACACCCTCTTCTTCCTCTTCCTGGATAAATACGGTAAGTTCTGGGGGGGGGGGGCTGCCGGTGCCACCTGCCCGGTTTACATGGAGGGGGTTAGGTTAGGAAGCTGCAGAACAAGGAGGCTTTTCCCAGGCTGGTCGGTTTCACGCTCTGTTTCTAGTCCGTTTCCTGCTCCCTTTCCCAGTGCAGAGCTGCTGGCGCCCAATCTGCGTGGCTTGCTGCTCTTTGGAGCCCAGCCCTGGCCGCAACACTGAACCAAATGCCCAGCTCCCCGCCGCGCTCCCTGTGGTGCGGCTTCGCTCCTCCGTGGCGTCCACCCAGCCAGGACCCAAGTCAGAGGGTGGCAACCTCCCAGCGGGGCGGGAGGGAGTCAATGTGGACACAAGAACACGTGGATATAAACTGGCCATCAACAAGCTTTGGCTTGAAATTGGAGGAAGGTTTGTTCCAAGTTCTGGAACGGCCTCCCAAGGGGAGCAGTGGGGGCAAAACCCTGAACTGGCTTCAAGACTGAGTGTGATAAGTGTAGGGAGGGGCTGGTATGGTGAGACTGCCGACAATGGCATGTAGCCGATCTTCGACTGCTACCAGCAAATATCCCCAACAGCCGGGGATGGGACACTGGATGGGGAGCCCTGAGTCACTCCAGAGAATTCTTTCCCAGGGGGTCTGGCTGCTGGGTCTAGCCCACATGCTCAGGGTCTAACCAACCGCCAGATTTGGGGTTGGGAAGGAATTTCCCCCCCGGGTCAGACTGGCAGAGACCCTGGGGGGGTTCACCTTCCCCTGCAGCGTGGGGCGCGGGTCACTCGCTGGTTTGAACTAGAGCCAAGGGTGGATTCTCTGTCACTTGAAGTCTTTGGACCATGCTCTGAGGACTCAGTGACTCAGCCAGAGCTCGGGGTCTGTTCCAGGGGTGGGTGGGCGAGGTTCGGTGGCCTGCGAGGTGCAGGTCAGACAAGATGATCACGATGGTCCCTTCCAGCCTTTGACTCTCCGAGTCTGTGAGATTGTCCCCAAGCCAAACGTGCCGCCTGGTCCCGGGGGTTGGCTCTGAGCTGCCTGTCTGAGCACGGCTGCAGCGTGGAGCTCCCATGTTCTCCATTTCCCCTCCAGGTCTCCGGAAGCTGGAAGCCTTTTTCGGTCTCCTGATCACTATCATGGCAGTGACCTTTGGCTACGAGGTAAAGAGACATTTCCTGGCTGCCTTGCCCAGCCCTTGCGTGTGAGCAGGGGAGGAACGGCCCAGAGTTCACACCACAGAACTACCTCGGGCCGCGATCACAGGCTGAGACTCCACAGAGGTCCCCAGAGCCCGAGAGAGAACAGGAACATCCGACTGGGTCACTGAGTCCAGTCTCCTCCTGTCACGGGCAACCCCATCAGCTAATCCCGCTCACAGATCTCTCGAGCTCCCTCTTACACCCGGTTAAGTTCCTTGCACTTGTGCTCAGCGAGCGGGCAGAGGTGGGGATCCGAGCTGCCCGCGTTATGGAGGGGCCACTTACAGACCCGTCTGGCCAAAGGGAAATCTCAGTGCACTGGGCACGGCTGGAGCCAGGAGGGGCGGCGCTGCTGCTCTGGGAGGCGTTCGGGGGGAGAGCAGACAGGCGCGTCTTTCCCCTCGCCCGGGCAGCCCTTGTGCCACCTCCAGAGGCCTGCTGCCAAGCACAGCAGCTATGTGGGAGTTAGGTCTTTTTACAAGGGTGCATCAGCTGCAAACCCTTCCTTTGACTGGGGTCCCTGTTTGTCCCACAAGCTAAGCCGGGGGATGCCTGGTCAGTATTTGGGTGGCAGACTCCCCTCCAGGGAGGACGAAGTGGCAGCAGATGCTTTTCCCTGGGAGGTGCCGCCTTGCAGCTGCTTGCGATCGTTAGAGACCGTGGGCTTTGGGGTGTCGGCCCCACGTCCTGGCTGGGGCGTGTCTTTGCCCCCCATGGATTGGGGTGGGGATTCGTGTGGCCGTGCGCTGTGACGGAGCTGCCGTGACCTCGTCCGGTCCGGTGGGGACTCCTGTGTCATGGAGCTGGGGACGGGGACTGCTTGCTCACTGCCGCTTTGCGTGGCAGGCCGGCGTTAGCACTGCCGACAAGGGCAGAGTGGGCCCAGGAGCCAGAGCCATGCTTCTCCTCACTCGCTCTCCCCTCCTCTGTCCCCAGTACGTGGTGGTACGGCCTGCCCAGACGGAGGTGCTGAAGGGCATATTCTTCCCCTACTGCCGCGGCTGCGGGCGGGAGGAGCTGCTGCAGGCTGTGGGCATCGTGGGCGCCATCATCATGCCGCACAATATCTACCTCCACTCCTCCCTGGTCAAGGTGAGGGCTCGGGGTGGGCGCCCGACCCTGCCGTGGGCGCCAATCAGCTGCCTTCCCTCTTCATCCTGGGGGGCACTTCTGTAACCCACAAGGGGCCTGGTGTGCGCATGATGGAGTCACAAAAACAACAAGGAGTCCGGTGGCACCTTAAAGACTAACAGATATTTCGGCTTAAGCTTTCAGGGGTAAAAAACATCACTTCTTCAGATGCATGGAGTGAAAGTTACAGACGCAGGCATGTGGAGTCAGCCATCAGCGGCATTAGGAGGCCATGGGTGCAATACCTTGACCTGCCAGCGGGGGCGTTGTTGCACTCCCAGCCCCTGCTCCAGCTGGGGTGGGGATGCTACCGACCGGAGAGTGAAGCCAGGGGGTGGATACTCAGTATGTGGGAGCGTGGGTGGGACCGAGGGCAGCACCCTGGGAACAGGAAACAGATGCTTGGCTCCTCCGCCCAGCTGGGCGGGGCATCAAGCCCCAGGCTGCACCCCACCCCCTGCCCCATGATAGCCCCATGAGCCATCTGAGCATGCCATTCCCGCCACGGGCTCAGGGCTCCCCAGAGAGCCAGTAGCCCTGTCCCCCCCGTGCCCTGGCCTAGCCAGCTGCGTGACGGTGCCCCCCGCTGTGTGCCCCCGCCCAGACCCGCGAAGTGACGCGCTCCCAGAGGCAGGAGGTGAGCGAGGCCAACAAGTACTTCCTGATTGAGTCCTGCATCGCCCTCTTCATCTCCTTCCTCATCAACCTCTTCGTCATGGCCGTCTTCGGCCAGGCCTTCTACCACCGCACCAACCAGGACGTGGTGAGTACCTGCCACCAGGGGGCAGGGGCGGGCCTTCTCCCCTACCCCAGGCCCCGCGTCCCACCACCCTCTCTGATGAGCCGCCGGTGTGCCTGCACTTCCCAGCAGCTCCAGCGAGGGGCAGCACCTGAGCCGTACACACCCCCCCCCCACCAGCAGGGGTGCGAGAGGCTGTGTGATCATCCTCAGCTGAGTTTAAATCTTACTGCCCCACCAGAGCCCCTAGCGACTACCAGCACCAGCTCCCTTGGGGACTAGAACTCTCGACCTTCCGCACTAAAAAGCCAGGCCTCTACCCCCAGGAGCCAACAGGGCAGCTCCCCTGACCTCCAGCCACAGCTGACTCATGGCGGGCACTAGAGGGCAGCAGGGAGCACACCCACCCAGCAGCGATTGGGGCCACCAGCCCCCGGGATCTGATAGGCTCTTGCAGGCGGGGCTGGTCCCCCGTCGCCCGCTCGGCCCCGGGCAGCGTTAAGGGCAGGGATGCGGGGAGGCGTGGTCCGCTGATTGCTCAGCCCGCTGTAGGGCCGGCCTGCGCCTGTCCCCTGCCAGTGCCCTCCTGCCCCCACCCCAGTGAGGTCATTTGCCAGGCAGCCTCCTGACGGGTGGGCCCCGCGCCCCCTGTGTTTCAGTACAACGTTTGCGCCAACAGCAGCGTCAGCCAGTACGCCCCCATCTTCCCCAGGAACAACGAGACGGTCTCCGTGGACATCTACCAAGGGGTGAGTCGGGGGCACAGACACCCCCCTGCCCTCCCCCCCGGCAGCTGGGGCTGGGCTGCCGGGATGGGGACGCGTGGGGCTCAGCGGCTTAGCCCCATGGGAGAGGGGGAGGGTTTGCCCATCCTGGCCTCCCAGGGCAGGCTCTTTTTCTGGCAGCGCCCCCTGCACCGGCCTCAGCCTTCAGGTGCCCACAATCCTCTCCCGGGTCCCTGCTGGAGCCATCGGGGTCCCTTCTATTTCCCCCGCCCCTCGTACCCCGCCCCACCCATCGCTGCCATCGCTGAGAGCCGGACCGAGGGGTTACTGCTGAACAGCCTCCCAGTGCCCCGACCTGCCAGCCTGGCGTGGGAGAGGCCGGGAGCAGATCCTGGCCCTACCCCACAAGGGAGGGCTTGGGGTCCCTCCTTGGGCCCTGCTAACACAGGCTCTGCTCTGTCCCCCTTCAGGGCGTCATTCTGGGCTGTTACTTCGGCTCCGTTGCTCTCTATATCTGGGCCATCGGGATTCTGGCAGCGGGGCAGAGTTCCACCATGACCGGGACCTACGCTGGGCAGTTTGTCATGGAGGTGAGGGACGGGGGCTGGGCTGGGTTGGTACCGGCTGGGGGCGGAGCCAGCGCTTCCCCGGAGGCCCTTATTGCTGCAAAGAGAAACTTCCAGCTGTGATCCTGCTGCCTGCCTGAGTCTGCAGAGAGCCTGCTTCCAACCACGTCACTGAGCCAGGTGTGAACTTCCCCATTCTCCCCAGTGGGGCGTTGACTCTGGAGTCTAATGAAACCAACAGCCGCACCATTTAACTATTTCACTGCTGATCCTCTTACCAGAACGCTGGGAGTTTGGGGTCGTGGGTGGAGCTAGAGTAAAAGCCCCCATGCCTGCCCGCTCTCTGTCCCCTAAAGGAAGCAGATTGGAAGCGCTTGCTGGAAGTGGGATCTGTCTCTCTCCCCCTAATCTAGGCATTTGTACCACACTCCTCGGCTTGGTGCCTGGGCGCCTGGGACGGCTCCACAGGGGAAAAACCACAGGGGGGTTATCGGGAGTTCGCTCCATTTCTCCTCAGCCCCTTCCCCAGGACAAGCAGATGCAAGTGTCTGTAGGCTGGCGGGAATGCTAAGGCGCAAAGGCAGGGTGAAAGGAAGACCCTGATCTCTTGCAATTCCCAGGAACTTTCTGCAAATTCCAGTCTGCAGAACTCAGGTCGCCTCCCTAAAACTCCCACTGCGCTTTCACTTCGAGACATCAACCCGTCACCTCCCTTCTTCAAACCTGTCGGGCTGACTTCTTGCACGCTGCTGCTGCGCTCCACCCCAGAGGCAGCTGCATTTCAGCAGCCACTCAAGCGGTCTCTGTGTCTGGAGCTTGTCACTAGGTTGTAATCTTTGCACAAGGGGAGCTGAACCTACCTGAGACTCACTGACTAATGTACTGCCCATCAGCGTGGTGACATCTAGGGCTGGCTGGGGGGACTGCACAGACCTAACCCAAGCAAAGGTTTGCGCGTCCAGCCCCGCACGCAGCTATTTCTCCCTGTCCTAGCAGCTCAGAGAACCAGCCTTCCTGGCTCTATAGACCCGTCGGCTGGCCCAGCCGCTGCACTGGGCCAGTGGGGGTTGGGGTCGGGGCATCAGGGACCTGGCCCCGCGCTTTTCCCAATAATGGAAACATTTAACAGCCGAGTTCGGTTTGTTTTTCCTAAAACTTGTGAATGACTCGGACGCTCTGAGGGAGGAGGAGACGAAGTGTTAGAGCCGGGGAGAGGACAGAACCACGTGAATAACGGCCCCTCGTGAACAGCTCGGCTGGTGCCCTTCAATCCCGCAGCCCCTCCCTGCTAGCCCAGCCATGGGCTCCCCCCGCCCCAACTCTGCCAGTGCCTCATAATCCCAATCCACAGCCCCCTGGGCTCCCCCCACTAACTCTGCCGGTGCCCCTCACTCCCGACCCGCAGCTCCTTCTGCATTTCATAGTGTTTCCTCTCCCTCTTGCTGGGCCAGGCCTTGCTGTCCCCGAGCAAGACCCTTGCTCATGTTGGCCGTCCCATCCCCAGGCTACGAGGGGATGCTCTGAAACACAGGTCGGCTCACGTGTTCGCTAACCCAGTGTGGACGTGGCCGGCGAGCGGGCGCTTTAACCCAGGTTCCCTGGGCGGGGTGACCCCTGGGGGTGGGCGAGGAGCCTAGTTCACGTGTGTTTGAAGCCCAGCTTTGCTCCATTTGGCAGCGCCGTCCCTCCCCACCAGGAGGCAGGATCCTTGGGAAAGGAAACTTTTTCGTTGAGCTCCTGGGGCTGGAGGGTTGGGCGGGAGGGGGTGTCTATTCAGCACAGGACGTTCCAGGGCTGGACGGCCCGACCCTACAGGGCGGGGCGTGTCCTCCGCTCCCATTGCAGATTCTCGGGAATTAATCGTGCCCGGGGGGGGGCTGTATGGATGGTGGGTTCTGAGCACTGGAGTGAGTGCTGGGAGGGTGACCTGAGGGTGGTGGTGGGCGATCGAGTAGCGGGGGCTGAACTGAGGTGGTGGTGGCGATCGGGGCTGACCTGGGGGGGCTGAATTGAGGGGGGTTGGGTGGGGAGAGAACTGATGGGGGACAGGATTAATGGCTGGGCAGGAGACTGGCAGAGGTGGGAGTCAGAGCTCCTGCAGCCGGGACCAAAAATCGCTGTCTCCAGCGCAGGCAGGAGATTGTCCCACACCCTGGGGCGGGGGGGGGGAGTCCAAACATCAAGACCCTGCCCGGAAAAACGCAGTAGAATCGCTTTGAAAAATGTTGTGAGTTTTGGAGCCAATCTCCTGTTTTTTGATCTCTGGACGTTGCCAGTCCAGCCATTGCGGGGGCAGATCTGGCTCCAGGGGCCTCTCCCCCCAGTGACCCGGCAGCGTCAAGCCCCCGGCATCGTTCTCACCCACTGACGGGGCGTCCCCCCCCTTTGTCCCTCCCCAGGGGTTCCTGCAGCTGCGCTGGTCCCGCTTTGCCCGCGTGCTCTTCACCCGCTCCTTCGCCATCCTCCCCACCGTCTTCATCGCCGCCTTCAAGGACGTCAGCCACCTGACGGGGATGAACGACCTGCTCAACGTGCTACAGAGCATCCTGGTGAGAGCCGGGCCTGGACCTTGGGCACAGCTGATTCGGGGCAAGGGGGGGGCCCAGACGTGGTAGTGGGGGGTGGGGGCAGGTACCTGGGAGCAGGGTCCCCTCCCCTCTCACCCTGCCCCTCTGCCTTGCAGCTCCCCTTCGCCGTCCTCCCAGTTCTCACTTTCACCAGCATGCGGCCGCTCATGCAGGAGTTCACCAATGGCATGTGAGTATCTGCCCGGGCCTGGGGGTCCCACCTCTCCACCAGGCCGATGGCTGGGGGCGCAGGCAGCCTCCCCAGGGTGCCCAGCGTCCAGATCCCCCCAAATGCTGAAATTAACAAGCAGCAGAACCCCGGAACTTTGGGGTTTGTCAGGACCTGGGGGTGGGGCATCCTTCAGCCAATCGCGTGGCTGGGTTGGGGGGAGGGTCACAGGTGGGTGCAGGTGGGCAGGCTGTGCTTGCCATGTGCTCGCCGGGCCCCCTTGGGCCTGGGCCTGCAAGAGCTGGGCTGGCAGCACAGGGCACGGGAGCTACGCCCTGGCGCACGTCCCCACACGGGCAGGCTCAGCCGTGCGTCAGCCCCTCCCGCACTGGTGCACCCCCCTGCACGGGACAGGAGGCAGGGCGGAGCGGGGCCAGCCCATGCAGAGTCAGAGAGGCCGGACCCCCACCCAGGCAGCTGTCGGGAGGGGGCCAGGCCGGGCTCACGGGGGCTCTGGTCTCCGCAGTGTCGGGAAGGTGCTGATGATCCTCATCACCGGGCTGATCTGCGCCATTAACCTCTACTTCGTGGTGATCTACATCCCTACGCTGGGCAGCATTGCCTACTACATCCCCCTGGCCTTCGTGCTGGCCGGCTACGTGGCCTTCACCGCCTACCTGGTAGGGCGGCTGGGGCGGGGCCTGTGCTCTAGGGCTGGGGGATCCGGTCCTGGGCTGGGAGGGAGTACTTGGTGGGGGGGGATTGTGAGCACTTCGGGGGGCTCAGGACCTGGGACTTCTCTGCCAAGCCGTGCCCCTCATGTCCCTCCCCAGCGACCCCCCAGTGCCTGACTCCAAAGGGGACCCCCTACTGGTCAGATAGGGGAACAGTGGGGGGACCCCTCACAGAGCCACTCCAGTAATCAGAGCAAGATTGGGCAGCCCCTGCCCGCACCCACTGGTTTTCAGGGGCACCTGCTGCCTGCAGAGCTGGGACAAGGGCTGGTCAGAGACGGGCAGATCCTAGCCTGGGGCGAATCAGAACCAGCTGCCACATTATCCAGCTCCCAGGCCCCAGTCAGTGGTGGGCTTGGTACCAGGCTCTGGTCGGTCTCTGGAGCGTGGCTCAGGTCAGGGGCTCTGATCCCACCGCGCAGGCTGGACTCTGGGGCAGAGAGCGAGTGGGGGTCACTAGGTCATCTCCCCCCTTTGCTCCAACACCCCCAGGCTGCTCCACCCCCCCCCAACCCAGCGCTCTGTCCCAATCAGCTCAGCTGGTTTCCCTCTCGCCCCCCGTAGATCTGGATGTGCTGCATTGCACACGGAGCCGACTTCCTGGCCTGCGGCCGCCACAGCCAGTTCTCCTACGGGCTCCCCTCCACCGACCCCCCAGGCGGGGCAGGGCCCCGATGACGCGTCGTGCCCTGCCCCTGGGCACTCGCGCCACAGGACTGGGCTGCCTCTGGGTTTGTCGCCATCCCAGGAGGGAAGGAAGCCATCGCCACGCAGTCACCGCTACCGGCAGGGCCAGGGTTCAGGGCTGGGCTCCCCACTCCCCCCATGGACTGACGGACATGCAGCATCCCAGGGCATCTCCCCTTCTCAGCAAGCTCAGGGCATGGGGGGGCGGCACTGAGCAATTAGCACCTTCGCAGGCACCTGTGATCACACACACACACACACCCTGCCGCCACAGCTCTGCTGGTGCTCCCCAATCCTGACCCACAGCCCCCTGCTATAGTCCTGGTCCCCCCGGAGTGCTGCCGGTGCCCCTCAATCCCGACCTGCAGCTCTTGTTTAAGGTCCAGATCCTACATGTGAAATAATGACCCTAAGTTCACACTGATTGTGGAGGTAACTGAGCCCTCGGGGGATCCCACTGTGAGTAGCCCTTGCTGGCCAGGGTCGGGGGAATGGGCTGGGAGGGGCCGGAGCTGTGACTGGAGTAAAAGCTGCAGTATCCCAGAAGAAGATTCATGGAGAAGGAGTTCAAGTTGCAGACCCTGCCAGCCAGGCACCTCCCCGGGAAAGTGCCGCTCTGTGAATAAACTTGATTTCAAGGGTTCCCTACAGGAGGGTCTGGTCATTGGCTGGTGCCCCCGGAGGGAGCAGAAACGAGCCACCCCTGGAGCCGAGCTGGCCCCACCGGCCAGCCTGGGCCTCAGTCTGAGCCTCCCTGCAAGAGTCCATTGTCACCCTTCAGTGGCGGCCAAAGGTCATTGCCCAGAATAGGAACATTTTCCGCATGCCCATCACTTCCTATCCCAAAGCACGTACCAGGGCATCCTGGGATGCAGCCACCTCTGGGGTGGAGGACAACAGGCATAGTGCAGCAATGCTAATCAGCCGCAGAGGGGACTTTGGCAAATGCCCTGGGTTGACTGGCCAGGCAGAACAGACAGGGTTGTCAGGGTCTTGCCCCCGACAGGTCCCCTCCCTGGAGAGTGCATGGAGCTCAGCGTATCTGCTTGCAACGGAGGAAGGCTGGGTCAGGGCTGCAGGGCTGTGAATCTAGGAATTTCATCCCTGCTGTTTGGCGCACGGGGCCACCCCGTCCAGCTGGACTCCCAGGCCCAAAGGAACCCAGCCCTCTTCTCGCTGAGCTGCTGGGTCACCGTGGCCTGCTAGGGACTGCACGGTTTTGTTTAAATTGCATTTGTTCCTGGTTTTGCTGTTTCGTGCCGCATGAAGGGGCCCTGAAAGGGTTAAAAAAGAGAGCAGGGTGAGGGGATCTGCTCGGTTTTTCCCTTAGAAATACCAGGAGCATCACGTCTGGTTTTGCAGGACGGCTCGGAGCGGCGTAGTGCGCCTGACAGCGGGGTGTGGAATCTTTACCAAAGACCACCTTTGTCCCAAGTGTGTGTCAGGCATTGGAGTTAACCAGGGTTCACCGTAGCGAACAAACCTCACCTGGCTAAAAAATCCCCTTTCCACGGCTCCACTCTCCTGCTCTTGTGATGTCAGACCGTCGCCCGCTCCCTGCTCAGCCACAGGACGGGCCACACTTGAGCATCTCCTGTTAAAAGCCATTGGCTGACCTAGAGCTGGCTCCAGTCCCAAACCTGCCAGCCCTCTTCAGAGACCCAAACAAGGGCCCAACCCCGACCTGCTTTCAGCCCCCGTCTCTTCAGATCGAGGAGTTCGTGGAGCTCTGGAATGCAGACGTAGCCTGAGTCCGGAGCGAAACCAACAAGAGACTTTCCATTGAGGGGAGTGAGCCTGGCACGTGGGAGCACCGTTCTCCTCCTACAGCTGCGCCCATCCCGGGAGCATGCAGGAGTCTTGCCCAGAGCAACTCTGAGGGTCCCTCAAGTGCGGCAACAGAGGGGTTAACCAAACCATCGGCCCCAAGGGCTTAGTCGACCGGTGACTCTGCCTGATCAGGGAGCTCCATGGGCAACAGGGCAGGAACCCTAGAGTTCGGTCTCCTTTGGAGCAGATCAAGAGGTGAGGCCCAAGGGGACTACAGGTCCCAGCATGCATTGCAGTCAGGTGTGTCCTGTGGAGGGGCGGGCTCTGACTGGGGAGTCCAGACCTGTGGATTTGTCTCCCTGAGGGTACCCCGGGAAGCAGCAGCTCTCCAGGCTGGCTGTGGAAGGGGAGCGGGCTGGGCTGGGAGGTCCCCCCCAGGGTGGAGCTGGAGGCAGGGCAGGGATCCTGAGCAGATGCCCAGGGTCTCTGGGATAGTCCAGGGGCTGCTGTGCCCTTAGAATGACTGAATCAGGGGGCACCACCTGTCCCGTGGTGAGTGATGGGAGCAGGTGCAATGGCTAAGCCAGCTCCCCTGGGCTGGCAAGGAACCTGTGGCAGGAGGCTGGAGAATGGGCTACCTGCAAGCAGCAGGGAGAGGGTTAAACAGGGCTTGGCATTCCCCTTCTTTGCTCAGCACTCCCCCAAGGCCCACAGCTCCCCACGAGCCGGCCTCTGGAGCCATGCGCAGCTTTCCGGAGCCGGCGGCTGCCCCCCCAGCACCGTTAATTGCTAACAGCTGCATCTGGGAGCCAGCAAAATCGCCTCAGTCCCCAGCACAGCGCTCGGCACTCAGGCCTAAGTGAATTAGCAGCCCCCAGAGATGCTCCTCTTCCAATTAGTGCTGAGAACAGAGCCCTCCCCCGGGGCCCCGGAGTGCTAATAACCTGGCAGGGAAAGGCCCAGCAGGTGCCCTCCAGCCCTGCCCAGTGTATTTCCCACAGCCCGTTGGCTGGGCCTTTGCCCAGATTCAGATCACCTGGGATCTGCCAGCCAAATTACTGCATTTAAATGACTTCATTTAAAACCTTGGTGTAATTCTCCAGCCCTTGCCTTTGTCCTGCCTTGGCAGCTTTGCATTTTCTTTGCTAGCTTGGGTATAAGGTAGGCAGCAGCTACACCTGAGCAAATCCTTCCAGCCCCGAGAGCGCGATCAAGGCAGGCTAGACTGTGCTGGTGACGAGAGGAGCCCCAGGAAACAGCATTTATCCGGGATCGAACTCCTCCGCTTGCAGAGAACTGGCAGGTCCCACCGGTGAGCCCTCAACTACCCCAATGGCTTTGTGTGTGTGTGACTATGTGGCTGGTGGGAACTGACAGCACCGCTGACTAAGGGAAGGCCCCAGCTGCAAGTTACAGAGTGAACAAATGAGTGGCAGAGCAGGGACTAGACCCCGGGAGTCCTGATTCCCAGTCACCAGCTTCTGGCCTCAGCTGCGGCTTCCTAGCCCAGCCATGGTAGCTGAACGTCACCCAGCAGAAGAGAGTGACTCCAGGTGTTGCGGTCAGAGCTGCTCGGCAATTCCATACACCTGGTTCTTCAGCTCCCAGACCACCAGCCTCTGGCCTGTGAGCTAGAGGAGATCTCCTGCAGCTGCCTCCAGTAGTAGGTCTCTTGTCCTCTCTGTGGGGAGCCGTCTTGGCCACACTGCAGCATTCCCAGCATGGGAGATGTAGTCCAACCAAGGAGCGCAGCCTATAGAAGAGAATGGGAGCATTAGCACCTCAACTACAACTCCCATGTGGCACTGCGGCAACATTTCGCTGTCTAAACATTTCACTTCCTGGCTGAAATATTTTGGCTCAGAATTTCCCACCCCCACTTCCCAACCAGCCCCACGGAGTGCAATGCAAAAAGTAACTCACCAGGCAGACTTCTGCAGGGCACCTTGCACACCATGGGGCCCAGAGCTCAGTAGCTGCCTCTCACTGCTATGGTCATAGAAATAATGGAGTTGGATTATGCAAACGGAAATACTTTTTGAACCCTGGGTGTATCATTGTAGTGTCTAGAACCACAGGGCTGGAAGTGCCATGGGCGATGGGACGGATCACTTGATGATTCCCTGTTCTGTTCATTCCCTCTGGGGTACCTGCCATTGGCCACTGTCGGCAGACAGGATACTGCGCTAGATGGACCTTTGGTCTGACCCAGTCTGGCTGTTCCTATGTTCTTAACACAAACATTCAATCATCACAATTAATCCTTTAGTTCTGCAAAGTACAAAAAAATTGTTTCTTTAAGGTGATCTTTTAATTTGTCTGTTTCTTCCTTGATGTGCCCTGGGGGGGAAGGTCAGGCTAGGACCTCTGAGGAAAAGTTAAAACATCTGAGCATGCTCAGAGTTAAGGAAAGTAGACTGAAGGGGGGCCTGATAAGTGTTCAGATCCGCGAAGGGCTGTTCTAAAGAGTGTGAGCAGTTGTTCTCCACATCCCCCGAAGGCAGAAGCAGCAGTAATGGGTTAATCTAACCAGGGCGATTTGGGCTGGATATTAGGACAAACTCTCAGGGTGGTGCAGCTCCGGAACGGCTTCCCAGGGAAGTTGTGGAATCTCCGACGCTGGAGGGTTTTCAGACCAGGCTGGACAAACCCCTGTCAGGGATGGTCTAGGTCCTGCCTCCGCACCACGGGCTGGACTTGGTGACTTCTGGAGGTCCCCTCCAGCCCGCTCCGATGAGAAAATTGCTAACTCTGAGAACAGCTGGGCCATGGAAGAAGCTGGGTCTGGTCTGCTCCAAAGGCCCAGCTGCTGGGGTTCCCTGCTGGGACCTTAGAGCCCAACGGTTACCCGAGGTCACGCTAACAAGCCAGGCAGTTCAGAACAGAGACCAGGAAATGGCACAGGGTGTCATTAGCCCAGGGAACTCCCTGCCACTAGTGAGGCAAGTGGTTCCGTGAGCGACCAATAGGGCTCGGGGGTGTGTGTCATTCAGAACAGCGGCTGCAGGGCCACGGGCCAGAGTCAATTACAAGGCTGGTGTAACCGCAGGCGGGAGGGTGTGACTGCCCCAGCATGGCCCTGCGGTGCCCTAAGGCCAGGGGCAGCTCCCGGGGGCTCCCCCAGAGAAGGGCTGCTTGGCAAGATGAGCACGTGGCAAATCTGTCCCCCAGCCTGGCAGGGGAGGGGGGAACCCCGCCCTCCCCCCCGCTACCCAGTCCCTAGAGCCTGGGCTCCTAAAGGCAGGGCGCGGGGCTCGCCTCCCCCTGCGGCTCTGACCTCGCTTGAGCCAACGGGCTCGCTCTATAGCAGGCGGCTTGTCCTGCGCCTTGCGCGCTTGGGAAGGGAAAGGAAATTTGCACTCGGACCCTTGCCTCGGGCCTCCATTGCTGCCCCCCCGCCGGAGGAGGCCGCGCAGGGCCCGGGGCCCTGCATGGCGGGAGGGGGGGGGTGTGGTTTGCAAAGGCCGGGGTCGGTACAAAAGGGGGGGGGCGCCGATCGCTGCGCTGTTCCCCCCGTGCAGCGGCTGCGCCGATTCCTGCCCCGCGCAGTTTGCGAGGCCTTCGTGGGGGCGGCTGCTCTCTCCCTGCCTCATCCCCGGGCCGGGCCCTGGCAGCTCCCGGTCCCGCTCCGTGCGCTTCCCTCGCGGCCCCTGGTGTCGCCTCTTCGCCCCGGGCTGGGAGCTGCTCTTGCTAGACGCTCCCTGAGCTGTTTCAAGGCTCCCCCCGCCCCGCTCCTCCCTCCTTGCCCCAGACCCCGAACTCCTCACAACCGGGGCAACTTCTAGCGGCTCCCCAGCCCCCCCCCCCATGGGTCCCACCCCCTGCGCCCCTGCCCCTCTCTGCAGGGGGGTGTCCAGTGCGAGCCCCCCAGCACCCGG